GACGGAGGAGAGGGAGGAGGGGGAGGTTGTTATTGGTTGGGCAGCAGGGGCTGCGGCTGCCTGCAGGGGAGTTGCAGGTGGATTGGCGCTGGTTTAGGAGGCAGCTGGGTAGCGTCTGCCTGCAGGGAAGCTACAGGGGCTTGGCGGAAAGTTGAGGGAACAACAAGTTCTCTGGCTGTTGCGAGCTTGCAGGGAGGTGGTCGACTGTGCTGGAGAGTGCGTGGAATGATGATGGGCAGCGGGACTGCGTGTCAGAATCAGAATGAAGATGAACACCACCTCGGACGGGGTTACAGCGGGAGCACCTTCCTCGTCGTTGAATACAACCCTTGAGAGCGAAAATATTCAGACGAAACTGACTTCAAATTTCAGAACAAAGATCCCTAACTCTATACACATCAACTCCTATTTATAAAAGACTTGACCCGATTTAGGAAACATTTAAATTAAGAAAGGAGAATACAAATAAAATCAAGATTTCAGATTTTTAGGGAAGGTTCAAATTAAAGAAAGAGAATAAAATCATGATTTAGCCTTTTTCGGAAAGGATTTAAATTAGGAAAGGGCCTCAGAGGGAAAATAGAAAGAGGAAGAAAGGAAAGAAAAAGAAAGGGAGAAAAAGGAAAGAGAAGGAAAGAGGAGAAAGGAGGGGGCGGTGGGGCTCCCCTCCAAGTGGACCGGCTGATCTAGCTGAGCTGGACCTGTGCCTAGCCGGTCCCCCATGAGTCCTGCGTCAGCACTACTATTGATATCATAGACATTTAACTTTAAAGTGTTACATTGAACACAAAAAGCAACGCCTCATTGATTTTGTCTTTTATGTACTCTTCGCATTTTCCCAATTATCCTTTAACACAAGTAGTTTCAAATGCAACATAAAAATATGGAATCTGGAATTTATAAAATGTGCAGACATTAGGAAAAAAATTTTGATAACCTTTTCTGTCAACCATCCAGTGATTTAATTTGACCAGTTCAGTTTTCTTCTATGATTTAAACCCATTCAAATGAAGCTGGAGCTCTATTCTTTGAGGCATGCATATCATAGTCATCATCATCATCAGAGAAAATATATTTATATTTTGATTTGTTAGAAGCAGAATAAAAGGGGAAAAAAAAAGTTAGCTGTTCCAACTTTTTTAACAAGTAGCATGATTATTAAAGGAAGATTTACATACATATCATTCAATTCTTTTGTATTTACATATCTTACACCTGAAATTCAATTTTTACATTTATGCCACCTTATCAATGAATGAGAAGACATATTTTACATTTTAAAAGCTAAAATAGTGGTATTTTTGATGTGATATGAATGATTTGGGTGGTATTAATGTATAAAGTTTAGGTGTTGGATATGTAAATAAAAAGGATATGGGTGATGTGTATGTAAATGACCCATTATTAAATGGGTATAAGAAATGCATATGCAGTCGGTAATGCGGGTTTTGATATGGTTTGGTGTAACGATAGTTTGAAGGGATGTTTTTTATTTACGACTTGGATGGACACTATTGGTTTTATTGCAAAGAGGATCAAGCTCTAAGGCTTTCACCTATTTTTAGAGAATAAGTAATTAGTGCTTTCCTATTCTTCTGGAGGAGACCCCTTGATTTTTGATTACTTCTCCAATTCACAATGAGGGCGGCAGTTGATTGCAAGGGACAAACTAGAAGAAGAAACAGAGAAGTTCAGTGTGAGGGAGACTGTAACTGCGAGCAAAAACGCGAGAGAATGTGCAAACTTGGTAGCGCCAACCAAGCTATTCACAAACAGTGAATGAACGAGCGAGAGAGAGAGAGAGACAAGAAACTATGGTTGTAGTTTGAGGGACAAACCAGAAGAAGAAACAGAGAAGAAGTTCAGTGTGAGGGAGACTGTAATTGCGAGCAAAAACGCGAGAGAATGTGCAAACTCGGTAGCTCCAACCAAGCTATTCACAAACAATGAATAAACGAGCGAGAGAGAGAGAGACAAGAAACTATGGTTGTAGTTTGGTTGAAGCAACAAAGTGGCGGAATAGGCTCGAACTTAGTCGAATAAAGTGTAGTTGAGGAGCTAGGGTGACGACTTGAGAAGGAAAGCAAGGTAGGTGGAGAGTGGATTGGCAGAGGCATGCGATGAGGTGGTGCGTGCAACTTGCAAACAAGAGCGTGGGCTAAGGCGAAATGAACAAAGGCAGCGTGAGACAAGGATGAGCTAGAGGAAGGTAGTAAGCTCGATCGTGTGCATAGGAAGAAGTGGAAGTGATTCGAGAGCTTGAGTTCATGCCATTATTAGAGACAAGATCAAGCTAGTGCTGAGGTGAGTTTTAGGTTATATATATATATATAATATTTTTCTTAGTTTTTGTTAAATTTGAAGTAAAGTCAACTTGAATTCTAATTTAAGAAATATTAGAGTTTAAATGAAAGAAATAAATAAATAATTTGGTCAATGTAGATAAATATATGATTTTTTTTTTTTAAATATGAAAGAGATATACATATTATTTAGTTCATTTTTATCTTGAATGATGTAAGTGGAGAAATAATCAAAAATTCAAACTAGCATTAAACAATTAATATGAAAAAAATATTATAATTATTGATTGAAGTTAAAATAAATAAATAAATAAGTAATAATAAGTTAAGTTTTTATGATACCTAATGCTACCTATAAATATGAAATTAATAATTTTATGTAGCTATAGAAATTAATTTAATAAGATTTAGATGAAGTAAAAACATTAAGAAATATTGTGGGAAAACATTGATAAGTAGATTAAATGAACTAAAATAATTACTACTTTAATATGAAAGTAATAATAGAAATAAGTTAATTAGAATTTATAATAAGTTAAGAAATAAAACGCTGACAATTTAATGCCTAAATTATTTAAAACTAATGATTTACTAAATAAATAAATAATTTTTTTTTCTAATGTTAAGTAATGTAATAAAAATTCATTAATATGAATATATATGTTTATAGTAGGCATCGTAACTAGCGGAGATGATGACTAAAGAATAGAAATCAAGAAACAAGTCATACGATGTCAAGTTGGGTTCTCTTACTTCTATGTTATAGTTTCATTTTTATCATCTTCTGAACCGGTTGCATAAATAGTTATTGATACTTGATTAATAAAATTATAAAACTTTATTTTGATTCATTTGTATTTCAATATTTTCGTTCATTTTGATATGAATGCTTCAAGTCTTTCAATATCATAAATTTTTATGCATTTTTTGTAAAATATTTTATACTGAATGATATGAAAATATAAATGATATGCATTTTATAGTGATTGAATGTGCATATTGAATATGATGGATTTCATCATCTTATAGTATTAGTTGGGAACGTTAAGGTATATGTGTACGTCAACTTAGATAGTGCTCCTGTGACATTTGTATATAAAATGATATCAATGTTTAAATGATACAATACAACACAATAAATATTTTGAACTATCTTGAACGATCCATTCGAAAAAAATAAACTGTCAAATACCTTTATACTTGTTTATTATCACCAGCATACATACTACATTATTTTCATTATGTTGTTGCAATTTAGAAGTTTGAATATTCACCGAGTAATTGGTAACTCACAAGAATTTATACTAACTTTTTCAACTATAACACTTAAGGTAAAAAATGGATGCAATAACTCACAAGAATTTATACTATTTCAACTATAACACTTAAGGTAAAAAATGGATGCAAGAAGAGATAACACAATCAACTTAAAGAAAGGTAATTATCAATTGATTTTATTTTAGCTATTAAAATTATCTTAATTAGTTGTTCTTTCACATTATTTGATTATATACTATTACTGATAGAAAATAAAATTAGAATTTATATTTTATCGTCTGATCATTCGTTCCAGTTTTGGAAATTTCAAGCCTCCGGACTGGATCGTGACAACATACTAATCATGAATCATGGACAACCCTCCCCGTGATCCATTTCTACATGCAATGATGGTTTTTGAAATTTATCAACTACAACAATGGGTCTGTTTGGAGTGGGACATTCCATCGGAGATGTTATCTGAGCTACGAGATTAATTGTGACGGAATCCCTTACTCTACTATGATCATCATCCCAAATCATGGATATCCTGAAAACAAAACTAAAAAAATCTTTTTTTCTAACAAGACACATGGGTATTTTTTGGCAATCCTCTATTACCTCTAAGGCTCCTTAATTGCTAAATTATCCTTCCTAATGAAATAGGGTTAAACGAGACTTATATGTATCTTTTTGAATTTATAAAAAGAACCACTTGTCTAACCTTGTCTGAGAATGACATTTGTTCTCTTTCTTAATGATTGGCCATGGTCTGTGTAAACTCTCAATTATTTTTGTTCATGTGGCTGGCTTAGGATTAGGTTTTGATGTCTGCTGATTTTTTCTTTTTCTTTTCGGTATTGAAGGGTTTGTTTCTTATGTTTTTAATGGGTGGTAGTGTGACAACTGTATTATATGTTCAATGATTATTTATTGGTTTCTATTCAATATTACATGTTTTTCTATTGTGAGTTTTTGAGTTCTATTCTTATGAGTATGTTTGCACAGAATTCTGTGTTCTCTTGTAGAAGGATTTGAGCACTGCACACCCTTGTAATGCTGTTTGCATTATCATGCAGTAGGATTTTAGCATTTTACACTGTTGTAGCAAGGTCAGCACAACATAATAGTTTAGTTGCTCTGAAGGATTCAAAATTGCTATTATGACAATGACGATTTTGCATGATTTTATGATAGCTTTGTTTCTTTGGCCACTGATACAAATTTGAAAGTAGAAATAATCAATTATAGGTTGCCAACTAACGAACTGAATGCTTATAGATAGATTATCTATGGTCTATAAATATAGTTTTTGATTCAGTAAGATTTTAGATTCCACTTTTCATGTTATGTATGCATATTGGGTGTATGATTCTTCTGCGTGGATGAGAATGGCTACCCAATTCCGGGAAGTCATCTATTTGAATTGCCTCGAGTCCCATGTCTTCTTAAGTAATTTTTCCCTTTATTTAATTTTTTGTATATATGATTATTTGCTTGTTGCTATTCTTGATTTTGTTCAAATTTGGCATAACTAAAATTTTAGTATGGTGCTAAAAATTAAATTGATTGGCGTTGTTGCAACAACAACAACAATAACAACAAAGCCTTAATCCCACTACGTGAGGCCGGCTACATGAATTCTTTTTCTCCATTACGTCCTATTTAGTGTCATATTTTCATTTAGTTTTAATAAATTAAGATCATTTTTTATACAATAAGCCCAAGTCTTCCTAGGTCTACTTCTGCCTTTCTTAACATAAGTCGAATCTAAAACATCTACTCTCCTAATCGGATCACCAGATGGTCGGCGTTTAATGCGACCAAATCATCTAAGACGACTCTCTAATTTTGTCCGTCACTAGAGCTACACCCTATCACAGATATATTCATTTCACATTTTGTCTCTAAGTGTAAAGCCACTCATCCACCTAATCATTCTCATCTCGGCAACACTTAACTTAGTATTATGCTTCTCTTTTAAATGCCAAGATTCAGCGCCATAGAGCATTGTAGGTCTCACTACAATTTTATAAAATTTTACTTTCAGCCTAAGCGGTACTTTTCACTACAGTTTTATAAAATTTTACTTTCAGCCTAAGCGGTACTTTTCTATCACACAAAAGGCCCGAAACATTCCTCCACTTCAACCAACCAACTTGATTTCTACTATTAACATCCCCATCTATATCACCATCGCTTTGAAAAACAAACCCGAGAAAACTAATCATTCACACCTTTTAATAATTTGATCACCCAAATTTACACTTCTGTCACTAGAGCTAGTACTACTAAAATTACATGATTGGTATTTTTGCGTGGTTAAAAATTTTGATTTATTTCCTTGAATTTATTAGACTATTCTGTAATTATTTTGATTCAAATTCTTGTATTTTCTAGTTTGGTTTTACTTTACCTGCTATTCTAAATTTCTTTGCAATTTATATTTTTTGTATCATTTAATTGCACTAGGAATCCTTGGGATTTTTGTGTCCTTCATTAAATTTTTATTAACACTTTAGGTTTTTATTAATTTATAAACTTTGAAGCTGGGCTTGATATTGGAGAAACTTGATGGATGACAAAAGGGTGAAATCATTGCAAAATGAGTTGGCTAATTTATTAACTAAGCAAAATTAAAAGTGTGATTACATTAATATAGTTAAAGCATGATTAAAGAAAATTGAAAAGCAATCAATTTTAAGCATATAATGTAACAACCCGAGCTCTTACCTATCGAGCTATTGTGTGTTTTGGCCTAATGGCTTGATAATTTTTTTCCAATGGTGTAACTTTCTAGAAGGTCACCATCTTGTGAATGCACACGCACGAGCATGCTTAAATTTAGAGTTTCTAGTGAAATTCTAACCGTTATGACAAAATGAGTTTTAATGTTGAAGAATTAAGCTTCATTCTATTTAACTGGTTTGACAATCTTTGGTGTTCAAGTAATTGACATCCTCGTTTGTGTTCTTAACCCAGAATCTTCCACCGGGTGGATAGGATTTTAAATGTGGCCCTATAGAGTTAAGAGGTGGCTTCCGTAGCATTGGAATTTGTTATGCATGACATTTAGTTCCAACATCATTTGCACTCGCTTGAACTATCACCTATCGAGATATTGTATGCTTTGGTTTAATGGCCTCTATTGTTAATGTTGGAATGCAACTATCAATAGAGGCCATTCATGACATTTAGAATCCTCATTTTATTTAACTATAGATGCATAATACTAAGTTAAGTTAGTTGAATGTTGGCCTTTAAAAGAGATACAATATCTCGATAGGTGATAGTTGAACTATCACCAACATTCGCTTAAACTATACTAATTTTGTCCATCACTAGAGGAATTTGTTATGCATGGCAACACTTAACTAAATATTTTGGGAGTGCCTCATTTTATTTAAATAATAAAGTTCAGTTAGTTGCACCAACTGCATTGAAGGATAGTAACGCAGCACTTAAATGAGAACACTGAAGGAAAATCTCCTACATCTAAATCCACGCATCTATAACTAGGTCTAGGATTTCCGCCTACATCTTGGCCTAGGATTTCTACCAAATGTTGTTTTATATGTCATTATACTAGTCCTTACGCTAGTGAAAGTCTTAATAGAAACTTACATATAAATGTGGAGGAATTTAATGAAATCAATTATCCAAATGTTTTCTATGAATTTGATGAGATGTTTACTATTTGAGGACTCTTTAGACAATTCTTTGAATAGTACACAGAGCCTCATTGTTAGTACACAGAGCCTCATTGTTATTATACCTAAGGTTAAATTTGGTTGAAAGCTAATGATTTCACTATCTTATTTTAATTTTTACCTAAGGTTAAATTCGGTTGAAAGCTAATGATTTCACTATCTTATTTTAATCTTGAGGAAGAACTTTAAAATTATTTGCTGATAATGGGTGTTGCATGATGTTGTCTCTAAATTTGCTTTATGTAGCATCAATTTGAAATTTAAATGACTTCCCCAACCGTAAACTTAGTCTTCGTTTGGTTAGGATTTTCCTTTAAAAATCCTGTCAAAAACTGTTTTTACAAAAGCTGTTTTTTAAAGTTTGATAGAAGTTACAGCTCGAATTAGCAAATAAATGGAATTTTTAAAGGCATTTCTGAAATAGCAAAATAACCAAACAACTCGTCAAATGAAGAAATGACCTTTACTGAAAAAGGAAGCAACATAAATGTTTCCTCAAATGAGCCCTTAGCTTGGGTTGATAACGTTGCTATTTATGTGTCACAGAGTTTAGTTCTATACAATTAAGCAATCGTTATTGATAAAACTTGGAGTGATGTTTTCCTTATGCATGTTGCTTAAGTTGTTTTGGGTGAAGTGTGCTATATTGTTTAAATTTACTTTTTTTTAAAGATCTGATAATTATGCTTTTAAAGCTAATGGGATAGTGGTTGCTTAAACATAAGAATAAATCTAAATCTGTTGAAGAATCTAGTTCTCCAATTGAAGAAAAACAGCCCTTTCATATTCTGAAAATAAAAGCATGTAAGGAAAAGGGTATGCATGAGGTGTGATTTATGACTTATTAACTAGTGAGTTAAATGTTGTGCCTAAGATTATGGCATTTGTCATGATGAGTTTCTTATTGATTTACCACCAAATATGGTTACACAAGTTGTCATTGATTAAATTCTTTGGTTTTCTTTTTCTTATTTGCCTTGCTATAGGAAGAAATCCAATTGAACATGCAGGGCTGAAGAAACAAGTTGCTGATTTGCTTAAGATGGCATATATTAGAGAGTGCATTTGTTATCGTGCTGTCCCAACTTTGCTTACAGCTAAAAGAAGAGAGTTCTTGTATATATGTGGATTGCACTGTCATTAATAAAGTATCATTAAATATAGGTTTTATATATTTTAATGATATTTTGATTTAAAGATATACACTCGCATGATAAATTTCTCTTCTCATCTATTTATCTAGCATTTTTTATTCCTTGTTATTATTTATTTTTTAGGCAATTTGTTCATTGATTTTAAGTGATTATTGCAAGACACATGATGATAGTTTTGACAGAATGTTCCTATATCTACAGGAAACTACTCCTAAACTGGGGACTCTGTTGGGTGTTTTTGTCCCTTGTTTGCAAAGCATCCTGGGCATCATCTACTACATTCGTTTTTCCTGGTAATTTCTCTTCCATCTTGCAGTCATTGTTACTTTGTGAAAATGTTTAAAACGTCTAGTTTTTCTCTCTTGGATACTTGGGCAAAATTTATCAGCCTGTAAATTTTTAAGCTATATATCTACTACTAGACCATATGTTCATGGTGGCAACAGCTAATAAATACTGCCTTTAATGTATATAAGAACATAAAGAAGGTTTGGCGTTTTTTATTTTTTTCTGCGAAGGCAAAATGCCATGATTCACTATTCTTTTGTTACTCGTTTATAGGCATTGCTAGTGCTTTGTTTTGAATAGTTAACTGATGTAAATATACTGCTAGTTCCTTGCAAGCCGCTTCCAAGGACTATAGTGGGCTGATGGTGATTGAAGGTTTTTAAAAAATTCTCACCGATGTGGCAGCAGGGACGTATGCTAAGATAATGCTATTCTATAGCAAAAAAGATTCATGAGCAGGGAATTCACTTGACTTTTGTACTCCAAAGTATTATACTTATTCTACTTCATTTAGTGCTGTGTAGGACATTTGTGTAACCATTTTCAACCTTGCTTGTCATATATTATTGCACTCCTTTGATAATCTCATATTTTTGTTAGAGCTCTCAAATTCAAAGTCATTAAAAAATTCTTATGCATAGCTAAATGCTTTTAAATCTTTAATCTTTTAAGATAAAATAAAAATATTATACCTAGCAATCTTTGAAGATTGGAAACTTGTATTATTAATAGTTCAACTTAAAGGTTGCTTCTAGAGTAGAGGTGTAACTGAATTAAGCTGGGTCGAGCTTAACTCATTAATGAGCTTGCTAGTCAAGTTTATCGAGCCACGAGCTTGAGCTCGGCTCGGTTCGTTGGCTTGCGAGCCAACTGAACTTGTCGAATCTAACCACATTGATGCCTTGTCCAATGACTTCCACGACACTTCTCCTTCTGCCCCATTATCGATCACTTAGATGGCCTCTCGGTGAGCTTCATGGCAATTTCATTCGAGTTTCAATATTTCTATTAGTATTGCGAGCAGAGTTTCGTTCAACTCCATTTATACAATTGGAGTCACCCCCTTGCTGAAATGTCCCCATCTTTGATAAAACCATGAAGTCTTCTTTTATTATTTCTTTTTATAATGATTTTTCTTTGAACTATTTGTTGGGTTTGAATCAATTTTTTTTGGAGGCATTCACCATGACGTGGTGAAACATATCTTAGCACTTTGTAATAATACCTTTTAGTATGCAAGATTATCTTGTTAGTTGTGTTTTATTTTGGATTCATATCATTGAGGCCTTTGATGCATTAAGAGATGAGTATGAAATATTATTTAATTTTGTGGAATAAATTAAGCATAATGTAAACAAATTAAATTATAATGTTTATGAGTAGAAATAAATTTTTTGCCAAAAGGAATTGTAAAATTTTAGATGAATCAATTTAGAAATTTTGGCAAATGAATTTCGTGTAGTCTTCCTTGCCCAATGAGCACTTGTGGCCTCCTTTTCAAAGGAGACTTTCACCTCCTCCTGACACCCTAAGATGAAAATAGAAGTGCTTGATGATGTGCCTTTTAGGGCATGCTGTTATGGATATCATAGTGCCTCTCCTAGATTTCATGCGGTTAGAAATGTCTTTTGAATAGGTTCTTTGCCCATCATAATTAACGCGAACAAATTAGGAATCCTAAAGGTCTTATGTATCTTAATTAATGGGATGTTAGAGAGAAAATAAGGATAAATATCTAAAAGTTCTGGAGATATTGCTTAGGATTATTATTCTAATGACGATCATGATTAGCCAAACAAATTGCGTAATGAAACATCATTGACTTTGTTTTAATGGATTTCATGGTGAAGATGATTCAAATAGAGTTAAAGTAAATGTTGATACTTGCACTGTTGATGGTATAAATTGTCAAAATGTTTTTTTTTTCTTGATTTGATAGTGTATTCCATGAGTACTAAGAATGTGCTATATGTACAAATATTAAATTGGTTTGTCTTGTTAAAAGCTTTTGACCAGGATTTTGGTGCGGAATATATTAATTTGCAAAGCATTCTATTAGAACTTCTAGAATTTTAGCTGTTAAGAAAGCTAAATTGAACAAATACTTATCTATTTTTTTTTATTGTGTAATAATTTAATAGTTAGTGAATTTGAGGCAAGCAAAATTGATTTGTTAGAAAATACTTCAATTATTTGAAGGATTGAATTTCTTGTGTGATTTGGAAGAGGAAACATGGGTATTAACATAGAAATTTTTTAATTATCTTTGCCTTGAAATTAAGATTTTAGTATGACTTTTTGAATCAGGATTTCAGATAGAGCTTATTATAAAGACATGTATTTCATCAATATTTCTATAATGTCTTAACCTCATTAAGCAGGTAAAAAATTGAAGAATGATCAAATGACATGGAGAAAGCTTTTTTAAATGCTAGCTTTACTAGTGAGTTTCACCTATAAAATCATCTAATACATGGAAGAGGTCATCAATAATCTATATTATTAATTCCAAGCAGCTTGAATCTTTCTCGAATTTGAAGTCACAGTTCTCCTTTTATGCAACTGGAGCCATACGTTATGAAATTTTTATGCATACAACGGATGAAAAAGTGATCTTAAATATTTTTGATGCATCTCAATAGTTTAATGGCGTCAAAGAAAATGAGAGTTCCATTCTTGCATTTGAAGACCACAATGTCAAATTTTAAATGGGTGAAGAATGCTAATTATCAGTTAAGATGGAGAAATGTTCATCCAGGATAGTGCCAAGGTCCCCTTTATGTCCTTACTATTGATTTGGTGCATCCTCTCATAAGGCACTTCCAATAATTCGGCTGCCCAACTCGTCATTATTTCTTCATCTTGATAGATTATACCTGCCACAAGCCTGCTACTACCTTTCTCATTAACCTTGTTCTCATCTTCTTAGATGCAAAGAATTTTTATATCACAAAAAATTTCTTCACTTTGGTTGAAAAATTTTTATTGGGTCTCTCAAGTGTCGAGAGTGTTCAGCCTTTCATGTCCGATGCTAGTTTGTTATGTGTTTTTTCTTTGGGTCTTCTTGATAGAGAACATGTGCTTTTCAGATTATTGTTGGATGTAGAGTGTTTTAGGCTTTTCTCTAGGCATTTAACTTTTGTGAATGGCCTATAGGTACATATATTACAACCTTTCTTTCATACCTTTGAGGACTTGTAGTAGCTTGGTTGGCTACTTTCCCTCATCTTTGCGTCCATTATATCAAAAAATCAACATTATATTGTTTGGGTACAATCTTTGGCAAAACATTGAACGTGAATCATGCTACCACTATACTCTCTTGACCATTTGTGGCCCATGTTTTGGTTGAGATGGACATATTTGACTCTTTGGTCTGGAAGGTATGGATTTTCTTTCCTCTAGCTATTGTCAAAAAATGAAATATGAACTTTTGCTCTCAGACTATGTAAATTTTTTGTTTATATGATATTATCGATTGCTTTTAGGGCCTACCAGGAATCTATGAAATTGTTCTTGAAAATTCCATCTGTTGAGGTTAGCTCTTTTGATCACTATACGGACTCAAAAATAATTGTATGGTAAATACTCATGATCAATTATGGTCTTCTCGTTTCCTTGGTGCTCCTCCCTCTTCCATAGTACCTTGGGGTCTTCTCATAATTTGAATTTTACTTGATATTTATCTCTTGAGTTAATACCTTTTTTTGCTATTGATAATTTGTTGGTTGGTAATTCCCACTTTGTTGCTGTAATTATGATAGTAGGGTCTTTTGATATATCTTGAATCATGCTTGGTTCAGACATTTGCCAACCTATTGAGGTTCTTGTTACTAATTTTACTATTTCCTCTCCAGTTGATACTGCAACCATACTGATCATTGTTACATGAGATTATTTTGGAGTGGAGAGTTTTGCTGACTTTAGCTTAGTTCAAACTTGAAGATTTTGTTAGAATTTTTTTTATTTTGTTGATAAAAAATTTCAACAGGTATTCTCTTGTGGAGGCACTGATCTGAAGGTCTTCCTCCACTCTTTTAGATATTTAAATAACTCCCTTGATGATTTTGGCATTCTGAACGCGGATGATTCATGAGTTGTCATGATCCACTTCTCCAGGATATCATTGCTATTTTTTCCTTAAATTAGATTGTTTGATGTTTTATTTATTTATTTATTTATTTATTATTTTTATTTTGCTTTAAAGCCTTATGTAACTTCTTTTTTATGTAATTTTTCATTGGCAAGTTCTAAAATTTTGACTTTGTACATGGAACTATCTCCATCTTTACTTTTTTCCTTTTGTCAAGTCTCTGGCCATTTTTAAATTATTTGTAAGTGTTGATCAACTTTAATGTTTTACTTATTAATGTAAAAAATTGCTTTAACGACGTAATTCTTATCTTTAGGATTGTGGGTATGGGTGGCATCGGCGAATCACTTATGCTGGTTTCTTTCTGTGGTGCTTGCACGTTTTTTACATCTATCTCATTAAGTGCAATTGCTACAAATGGGGCAATGAAGGTATTTTGATTTTTAAATTTTTTTTTAATGAATTAAACATTGCCATAATCATTATTTGGTTTATGGAAACTATGCGAACTCAGTTTTGTAAAATTTTTGTCTCTATTTATTCTTGTTGGCGTTGGGTGTGTTGTTAACACAAGCGAATGATTTCACAGCTTCTTTTCTAATTTCCTGTGGCCCACCCCGTTTACTTCTGATGGATTTCACTATAATTATTTCTCCCTAGCTTAAATTGATACATCGTTTGCTCTCTTTTATGCATCTTCAATCGTCAAGTCTATTTTTGAATATTCTCTCTTCATGCTTTACACACGCATGTTTCATTGCTCTTTCATTCCATGTATAATCTGAGGTCAGATGGATGCATGTTGCAGCTACTTTGCTATATAAACTATTCTGGAAGAATTTCTCAAGCTGAGTTTGCTTTGTTTAAATCGTGACCACGATGCATGTTAATGATGAGAGGAATGACGAAGAATGAATTGCTCAATGTTATTTGAGCACATTTTAAAATGGTCATCCAGGATGCAACTTTTATTGGTAGGACATTTTCTTAGTTTTATTTTCTTAATCCAGGATGCAACTTTTATTGGTAGGACATTTTTTTAGTTTTATTTTCGTAATCTTTGAAATTCAAAAATATATTACAAGCATTTTTATGTTGAACAAATTGATATATTGGACATCAAATATTGCGTTAGAATTTTTGTGATTGGAATGTTTAACTATCTGATTTGTATAATTTAAATGCTAGAGCTTTTATGTATGTTTAATGAAACTTTGAACTTTTTCAAGCAATCTTAAAAGTTAGCAGTTTATAGTCTCTGTTACATTGTGTCAAAATCATATCACCCTAAGTTTAGATTATTTGATTCGGATTTCAGCCAAATGGATACTGGCTTTGGACATTTAATTTCGGAACTATTTGTGTTGAAAAATGGCTTTAAATTAATTATTGTTAAAAAAAACTTTTAGATGTTTTATTTTTTTGTTTGTGAAAAAACTTAAAATTATAGAACATGTATAAAGGGATCATCTTTGTAGGTGTACGCATTCATGAATTTTTATTACGGCGATGATGTAATTTTTTATTAACAATTGTGACAGTGCTCTTTTATAATGTTTAAAGCTTTCTATATGCCTCAATTTTTACTGTTCTACTAATGCATATTTTATTTAGGGTGGGGGGCCGTATTATCTTATCGGCCGAGCCCTTGGTCCAGAAGTTGGGGTCAGTATTGGTTTGTGTTTCTTTCTTGGGAATGCTGTTGCTGGAGCACTGTAAGTGTTTTAATAACGTCTTAGATATTGTTTTGTTCATATTTCTATTTTCCGGTTGTTCCTGCACATCCAGAAATTTGGTCAAACTAATTATTTATGCGGTTCATACATTAGTATAGCATTGCCTGCTGTTTTCCCGAGAAGTCATAAAATTAGGGTGAAATGCATCATTAAGGCTCTAAGGACAAGAATTCATGAAATTTAATGCGTAGTTTCTGTATTACTCGTGATCCGGATACCTGTTGTGATATTCAACTGAATGCCCTACTGCTGCATAATATATAATCCAAAGAAGAATTCTCCCATCTTACAGTGTATCTAGCATTTATAAATACTACTTCTATTTGCCATTTGATAATTATATATCTTTCGTGATATTCATTATTGAATTTTGAATAAAAATAAATCAGTGTTTATGCTATATATAAATCATATTAGAATAACAAGTAGTTTAGTATTTTGGATATTGTGCTATATACTGAAAAGTGGGCCTGAAAATCTGTAGGATAAAACAGTTCAGTGAGGGTAATTATAACATTATAAATGAAAAAGAGGATAAAAATTATTTGATCATAGAACTTGCAAGTTTTGTGATTGTGGTGGAGTCTGTGTAGATGATAAAAAGAAAAGAAAATTTAAGGAAAGGGATTCAAACCGTGCTAGTAAATACCATTTTAAGATCATCATTACGGAGAAACTTTATTTTCTATTCAAACAGTTTTTGATGTTACTAAATTAAAATTTTGAAATCATGATTATTTGATATTGATATATATTTGTTTATTTTTTTTAAAAAGTTAGTTATTAATCAAGCTAGATAAAAAAATGGATGTCTTGTATAACCTAGGACAAGATAACTTAAATGCATCAAAAAAGGGAAGGGTTGATGGAGGGAATCAATACTTGTCCAATACGCATAACTTCTTTTGGTATACACCTTTAGATACCTTATAAAACATAACACATAATACGTGCTAAAAAATAACTTAAATTAGTTGGAAAATTTTAATGTGTCACAACCCAATTAGTTTGACTAATTCAAGCCATTGGTACCATAATTGCCGTTTTGTCTAAATTAACTAGCTGTAGGTCACAATGAGATGACACCAATTAACTCATTTTCTGAGGCATTTGGCAGCATAAATCGTTCCCTCAACTTACGCCAAGTGACCCGCCGAGTCTAGAATTGGCTCCAGGGCTTGACACCAAGAGGTGATACCGAAGCATGCTAACCTCAACTCTCACAAATAATATAAAAAAATTAACAATATCCACATCAACATCACACATTAATTTAAATTTCTTTTAATGTTTCCTGCAAAAATTTTAGGCTGATTTTATACAGGTGGGGCTCACTTAAAATGCAATGAAAAGGTTTAAAATAACCCTGCAAGGCTTGCTTTGGTGCAATCCAATAGTTTTTTATACTCGCTAGTTCTCATGGCAATGGTCGCCATACCTAATGCCTATGCATGGCCATCAGCTTGCTCCTTATCCAGTTGTCTCCAACACTATTCCATCCACCCAACATTCTTATTGAGCAATTGCGAGAAATACTCCGTGGATGGTATATGTGTCGGCCGTTATTTTGGAAAATGATGATTTTTGGTGATATGAAAATAGTTTTAATATAAATATGTGATTTTTTATTTTTGAAAGTAATATTTTAATTTTGAAAATAGATGAGACCAAACAAGTCTCACATATTGAATAATTTGGACGGCTGAATGCGCTACCACAAGTAATACATTATTCCGAACGACTGAATGCGCTACCACAAGTAATACATTATTCCGAAGGATGAACATATCATTTGTAGTAGGTTCAACCACCAAAATCAAAGAATTTTGTGACATCTGCTTAGCCTACGAAACCTTTTATATGAGTTCGACAAGTTCCCCTATTTAATATAAGGATTAAATAGAGTTTATTTTACCTGGGTTCCGAGTTCCCTATAGAGGCAAGCCCTTACAGTTAATTACATTTTAAATGACCTGGGTCGTAAACTCTCGATTAAGATCAGTGGTTATGCCTTCAAGATTTCAAAGTTTAGATTTCCAAGATTGGACACGGGAAAATCAAATGGGAGTGACTCAAACATAAACAATTATTTTAAGGAATCTAAAGGAATGAAAAGTAGAGGATATCACGAATCCGAGGAGAACCCCTGTGACCTCCCAACTATTATATTATTTGGCTTTATGTCTTTGAAATAATGTTATTCAATGTTTAATCCTGCAATTTATTTTTAGAATTTAGGACTTACATTCACACGATATCTGATCGTGCAAATAACCTAGAAAGATAAGATGATTTACACCGTACCATACAGTAACCTCGGAATCCTAAAAATATTAGTACTTAAGTGCAAAAACCTAAAGATAATATGCAAGGATTTATGTTGCGCTAAGCAAACTACCTCGAAGTATACCATATAGTAACCTCGGAATCCTAAAAATATTAGTACTTATAATTGCACAGCATGGTTGTGCAAAAACCTAAAGATAATATGCAAGGATTTACGTTGCGCTAAGCAAACTACCTCGAAGTCCTATGAGTTGTTATTTAAACTAAGGCAAATGTTTAGTTGTCGTAGACTTATTGTTCTGTTGTAGATTGTTATCCTCCGTCCGCTATATCCTGGTCGTGTTGCCCACGAAGGCTTGCTCTATGTCTCATGTAGTAGTAGTTTCAAGTTTAGTGTCTTATATGTAAATGTGCAATATTATTATTTGGTGTCTTACTGTGTATATCTCCTAAAGCAGACTATATCCTAAAGGTTTTGTAGTTAACTTAAAGCATGTATAAACAAACTATGTTATATTACAATATCTAATTAAAACTAATGGCCCTAATTTTGATAGCATTAAGATGGTTGGCTTGGGGCCATTGGGCCCACCCTCTTCTCTCCTGTTAGAAAGTTGTTTTCCTTATATTGTTGACAATTATCATTCCAGGAGACTACCAATCCTGGAGGATGTTTTTTCTTAGATTCATTGACCTGCTGCAATGTATTTCATTACCTTTTTATTAAGCTAACATTATTTTCTATACAATCACACAAATATTGTTTGGTCATACATTTCATGCATGCAATTGAGAAGTCGTTGATCAAACCATTATGGCGTTAACATAAGCATTAGAAGATAACTATCAAAGTGGACGCTAAATGAAATAAGTAGTTTAGGGTTCATAATTCTTGCTTTAAATTTAGGCCTGAAAGCTTGATTTTGATCGATTGCTCTGAGCCATGATTCTTCATAACAATAAAGTGTTCGCCCAATGCCATCTATAATAACATGTTCCAATGGCAGGGCCCCAATTATTGTTGAACTTAAAGTAGTGGCTTAGAGGCATCTATTCACTACACAAATATGCTTTCTTATTTGGTAGATTTTCCAACAATATTTTGAAGCAAGGACTTCCCACTTCAGCCTATCCTAGTAGTTTTACTCGTCCAAATTTTATTTTATGATTTGGCCCAAAAGTTTGAAATTATCAAGTCGATAATATCATGATCGTAAGTTAAGAGTCATACTCTAATATTTACAACAATCCAAAATGCCATCCTAACAACGAAGATCCATTAAATATCTTCCAATTCACATATAACTCACATATTTAAAATCAAGTTCTTTACTCTAATATTATTAGAAGTTTTATAAAAAGGAAATTTACATACATACTACATAATTTTTATGTATTTACATTTCTATCACCTAAAGTTTGATATTTACACTTATAAATTTTTTTTACATAGACCCGTGCATGAAAATATGTATTTTACTTTTAAAAAGTTAATAATGATGGTATTTTGATAGCGACAAGATAAAATTCAAAATAAATTAGGGTAGGAATCATAACAAAACATAATAATTACGATACATAAAAAGATAAACACCTGCAATTTGAGAGGTAGGCGAACCTAATTCCTAAGGCTCAAGACAACAATTACCCTAACCATAATCATATTAGGCCCTATTTATCTTAAACAATAATAACTAAAAACTAACATAATTGCCCCTTTTAGCCTTGTGCCTAAAATAATTTTCAAACTATTTGGCTGGCTCGACATGGCGGAAAGCTTTGTCGGTGTTGGTCTAATATTACTCCCCTTTTAATAAGACACTCTCCTCAAGGTGGAAAAGAGGAAACTGCGTATGGATCAAGTCATACGGCTCCCATGTGTTGTCATACTCTGGAAATTCTTTCCATTTAATCAATGCTTCTTTCCCACCTATGGATTCTTGGTGCACCTCATTTAGCTTTAGTAGTTCCAAGAGAACTTCCATATTCTCTATCAAGGTAGGGGGAAGTGAAGAGGACACATTATCATCAATAACATCTCTCAACTGAAATACATGGAACATTGGATAACGTGTCGATGAAGGTGGCCATTTCTAATGATAAGTGCTCTCATCAATGTTCTTTGATATCTAATAAGGACAAAAAGTAGCATGGGGAGAACTTCTCGTTCCTATGTCTGACCAATGTCCTCTCAACAGGGCCAGAGTTTTAGATATATCTTATCTCCAATCGCAATTTGCACATCCCTTTGATTTCTGTTGGCTTGTTTCTTCACAAGTTGTGTTTTCAATAAATATCCCTTCAATTCTGCCAACATCTTGCCCCTCTCTTCTAAGTACTGATCCACCAGAGACACTGACTTAGTACTATGTCCATAATGCAGCAAATGAGGTGTATTGCAACCATATCATATTTTATAAGGGGTGGTCTGAGAAGTTATGTGATACAGTGTGTTATACCAATACTCTGCCTAGGATAGCCATTTAGCCCACTGATTAGGTGCTTCGTATACAATGCTACACAAGTAGATCTCCACACTCAAATTAACAACTTCTGATTGTCCATCAGTCTGTGGGTGGTATGCTACACTTTTCTTCGATATAGTCATTTGCTTTCTAAAAAACTCCCTCAAAAAATGACTCAAGACACTACAGGAAAATTCCCGATTAGCGTCGAAATATTGGTGACGTTAA